ATAAATAGATTGACTAATAAACGTCAGTTCATACTGCGGACTTTTTGTTACATCGTAAATGAAATGAGTTTGTAAAGGCATTGGTTTGCCTGGATCAGTGATATTGGGTGTCAATCTCATTGATATTCCAAAGCTCGGAAGAATGATAATAAAGAAACATGATATTCCCATTATGCAGTAGGAACAAGTAATAATAATGCGTGCAGTCTGCGCTCTTCTAATCATAAAGTTTTTGTCCTGCGTACTTTTCGATTTTACCCAATCTTCCAAGATCATATTCGTAATTGGTATAATAGCTTCAAAAAAATGTTCAACATTAAATATGTAAATACTCAAATACATACTTAGTAAGCTAAATTTGATTAAGAACTACGTCAATTTTAATTCTAACAACAAAATGTTAAAAAATAAGATGATAAATATTACGTTAACATTTATCGTTTCGTTATAATTTTAACATAAAAAATAACATACATAAATATTAAAAATAAATTGTATAATCTAAAATTTATATTGCACACAGTAATCATAATTTAAATAAATCGTTACATTATTTTATTTCATTTATAAAATATATATTTTTTTATCATATTCAAAAACTTAAAAAGATATGGTTTTTAATTACCTTCCTTTTTCCACCAAAAAATCATGATTCTTATCGCGCAACTTATAGCTGGTAGAGTAAATTGTAAGTTATCAAGCATTAACATGATGTCTCCATAAATTCTTATCAATGAGTGTATAGAAGGAATCAACACGCCACAGGTTACCGCCAGGAAAACGAAGAGCACTCGAAGATTGCACATTAATTTTTGTCGAGTATTTTGCACAGTTATAGGCCAAAGTCCAATAAAATCTAAGGTGAACCGATTTAGCTTGACCGCCCATTCGAAATCTACCTGTAAAAATCTTAATAAATTGGAGCTCATATAAAACATAATTATAAATAGCATAAATAAATCCGCAATTAGAGCAAAATGTCATATTTTATAACAGAATACATGAAATATATACATAGAATGTTCAAAAATAAGTTTCTATGAATTAATAGTTATATTATAAATATATTTATAAATTATACTGCATAAGATTGAAGATTATTTAAATGGAAAAAATTATATTTGTTTTATTAAAACAAGATCATGATAAATTAAATTAACAAAATTATTTTTTATTGAACTAATATAATTAACACATTATTTTTTCCATGTAGAGAATAACAAATATGAATTATAATAAACACCGTATTTATTAACAGTTAAATTAACTAATTTTTTGTTACAATTGTCTAATGTATTTATAATCAACATAATATATAAAAAAAATTTAGAAAGTTTTTGTAATTAATAACATAAAATATATATTAAGTGTCACTACTATTTGCACACATGCACACATGTAATAAATATATTTTTATAAGATTTTCTTTCAAATTGCAGTTTTAACGATTTGTCGACGCCCATCAGCACCTTGATATCCAGTATATTTCGAATTATCCATGTCGAATATTACCTACAGACTGACAGCTGTCCGTTTTCTATGCAACAACGTTACTCTCCCTTTAACAAGAAGTATTATTCCCGCATACTCACAATAATTCCCGAAAGAGCCGTCAACTTACAACGAAGTGTTTTAAATATTCTATACCGTGCGACCCTCGTTTTATGTTTCTCATAAGTTTTCTGCACCGAACATCGTGCGGAACATTTAAGTATAAAAAATTTCGTAATAGCAGGTAGATATCACATGTTAGCAAAAAAAAGTGCGTTTATGTACATCCGTTGTATCCCACGCTGCAATTGCAGTACACTTTTGCTATAGTTATTAATAGATTTTATAGAATGCATCACACGCAATACATCGTTTATTTGTTTTATACTTATCAGAGACGATATATTTGCAATAATTGAGTTTTGTGATGAACATCGAGAACATACTTATAAAATAAAACGTGTGTTTTTGTTTTATAGAACAGGTACTTCGAATATTCTTTACAAAATGAATTGTATAATTAATCAAATTAAAAATTACACCATATGTAATATATTTAGTATATATTCAATATGTATTCTTTATATTTAATATATACGTTTATTAACACATATGCATATATTAAATATTTTATATTAAATTAAAATGCTTATATTATTTCAAAGTCTTAATCTTTAAAAGACATGTACTTTTTTCATACTTACGCTTTACTGAAAAAGATATCGATATGTAGTAATTATAAATGTGAAAAATATTTCTCTCTCTCTTTCTCTTCAAACTAATACATTAATTTAAAATATTGTATAAAATAAAAAGCATATTCAATTAAGTAACGTAAATATTTTAATTCTATTATGATTAATATATCTCTGTTACATTCTATTCATAATTACATAATTGAAAATTTTTATATCTATATTTCTTATAAATCTCCTGGTATAAATATTGCACTAACATGATTTTGATGATTCTTCATATTCGGTTTGCCAATAGAAATGATATGTAACCAGCCGATGATTTCAATAACTGTAACATATTCTTTATATGCATTGTAGGCAAACAATAAAAATTTTTAATTATTATATAATTGAATATACAATTAATTAATTATAAAATATTAAATATGTATATAATTAAATATTTAAAAATAAAAAGATTATATTTCTTATTAAAATAATTGTCAATATATGTCCATGTGATTATTTTATTTTAATTTGATATTTTTGTATTAATAATTAAGAATTTTTAACTAGAAAATAGAAAGAATAAAAATTATTAATGCAAAAGAAATTTTTCTATTTTTGTTATTTTTTAGAAATATCTAATAGAAATATTTTTTTCAGATTAACAATAAAAATAATTTATAAATTATAAATTTTAGGTAAATTATTAATCTTACACTGCAAAATGTGGTCATCGTAAGTGGAAATACTTTTCCTGCAGTGATGCGAAAGGGCTGGCTGGCTCGTATCATTAATAAAATAAGACTTCTTGCCTTTTTTGGTTCTAGTTTGTACCATTCAAGATCACACAGAGCACGATATACTTCTTCGCACTTAACAAGTATTAATATAGTATATACTGATACAAGACATTTATAAGTTATTTTAAAATTTTGAATTTGTAAAACTTACTTGCATTATTACAATCTCCCCGGCACCGCAATAAAGAAAAGTATGCGAAAGTAAAATGGTGATACCAATTAATGGAAAACATAATCGTGCGAAAGAGAAATCACTTTCTTCGGTAATCACCTGAATAATATACCTTGCTAATTAATGAAAATTAATTAATTCCAGATAATATATCAACAATCTGCACATTTAGAAATAAAAAAAGTAATGGATATTTTTTAAATAAAATATAAAAATGTGAAATACTAATGTTCTCTCTTAATTGAAATTGTGTTTAAACTTACAGTAAGTAATAAGAATCCATGAAGACAAAATACAATACCAAAATAAAACACTAAGCCCAACATCATTAAGGTGAAGGTATTTTCAATAATACTGGCGAATCTACATGTATATGAATATGTTTAAAAAATTATGTTTCCTACAATAAATCTAAAAAATGTAAGGCTATTATATTAATAACGTTTTACAAAATCCATTATTTTTTATATTTTCTCTGTTATTTATAATAAAAAATAGTTTGAAGGTATGTATCACATACTTTAATAAAAATGTTATTCTATATTTACATTTATATTTAATATTACTTCAATATTATATCTTATTTTAACAAAAGTAATAATGGCAAATATAAAATAAAAAATAAAACATAAGTGAAATATTAGGTCACCCGGAAAATTCTGTGGTATTCTCACATCTGTGTGCGGATACCAGCTTGAATTTTGCGCTAATACTGAATAAGGAAGCCCAAACTTCAGGTTGATAATAAAAAGAAATCTTTTGTTTAAACGCATCCATCCATAATGGCATATGTTTAGTATGCCATTTATATTCGATTCTATACTGCCCTAAAAATGGAGAATTAAAAACAACATTTTTGCTAGATTATGCTTTTCTACTTTAGAAAGGGCAAGAAAGCATGCGAGACAGCGCATAAAATTTGTATAAATGGACAAGATACTATTTCTGATAATACAATTCGGAGGTGGTTTATGAAATTTCAACAATGATTTCATTGTGATTTCATTGTGATTTCACTCTCAAAGACGAGCGCGATCTGAGCGTCTTTGTACTGTGAATAATGATTTACTGGAGCAAACGTCACCGAAAGTATACCTCGTAAGTACCTCGTATATACAAGAACTGGCAAAGAAATTGTAAAAAAGTACATGATCACTTGAACCTGGCTCCGCGAGGCCAAAAACCGTAGAACTTTCCGGATAACCCAATATGTCAATAATGTACGAAAAATATCTGCTTCAATTTTAATTTAAAATTAAAAATAAATACTCATAATTTTAATATAACAAATTATTAATTATTTAAATATTCTTATGATTTTTTAAATAAATGTAAAATACAAAAAAATATGGTACTTGATTACTAAATTAATTTTACTAATAAATTATAAAATAAATAATTATATAATAATTATATAATAATTATATAATAAATTACTAAATAACTTCTTTACAGAGTCTTCTGGATTTTACTTGTTAATGTGTAATTATAACGATAAAAATAATTATGCAAATACCTGATAAGCCGCATATGATTTATTATGTTGTTACTCAGAGTATAGATAAAATTCTGGCACGAAACTAAACTAGTAATACGGCCTTTGAAGTTTTCCAGTTGACCACTGAAGTGAAGGATCGTGAGTCCAAGAAAAGCGTCTACCGAGGTGTAAGTTACAGCGGCCAAGAAGATTGTAACAGCTTGAACGATATATGTTAGTTCAAATTGCGGACTCTTATCTATGTCATAAAAATAATAAGTCTGCAGCGGCAGCGGTTTGCCCGGGTCCGTGAGATTTGTCAAATGCCTTAATGATAAGCCAAAATACGGAAGAATGATGACCACAATGAACGCCAATACCATAAGAACGTATCCGCTGATAACAATTGTTCTAGCAATCTGTGCTCGTCCCATCATTACATCCCTCTCTTTTGTTGTCTTCAATTCCATCCAGTCTTCTGCCATCATTTTTATGATGGATAAAAGTGCTTTGAAATATAGCAAAATAATCACTTGCAGAACCATCACGTATCGTTTCTCATTTTAAAGATAAGGCAAGTACCTTTAAATATACTTTAAATTTTACACTTTTTATATGATAAATATAAACGTTCTTGATATTTTTGTGCTACACAGATAATTCCAGCCATACCTGTTTGTTTCCACCGCATAACAACAAGTTTTAACGAGACCACCAGTAAAGGTAACGTAATTTGGAGATTGTCTACCATAAGTATCATGTCTCCCCAAACTCGTATAAGGGAGCATGCGAGAGGTATACCAGAAACAAATGTCACTATAATAAAAATAATGACCACGCGAAGATCGGAAGCGAATTTATTCTTAGATTTTTTATCACTCTTGGGCCATAATCCAATCAGCTCTAAACCTAAACGATTTAATTCAATCGCCCACGTAAAATCTAGCAATGTTAAATTTATACGTTAAGAATATGTCAAAATTTGTGATATCTTGAAATTAAAACATCCAAAATGAAAATTCAAGACATTGAACTTTATAAGATAAGAATTTTTAGTTCCAAACACGTGTAATAGATTACGAAAGAATTGCAAAAAATATAGCAACTTTGTAATAATATTCAAGAATGTTCCGAGTTAGACACATCACAATCGCAAAGTAAAAAATTCACATATAAGCTCTATTTTAATATATAGCGATACAGTAATCCAAAAAATATTCAATAAACTCTATCACTTTCACTTGCAAACAAAAAATACTTAATAAACGTTTGGTACCTCTATACCGTGAATGTTTGGCAATGTCCATGCCGAAGACTGGCGAAGACTAATGCGAAGACGTTCACCCTACGTTCGCCACACTAATGTGAAGGATGATCATCACGCATGTCCGCGATGTGAGTGTAACAACCTGGCTGCTTCGCCGAAGAATGCATTAAATATTACAAATGCTATCTTCCCAATTGATAACAGCTTTCATTCCAAAACTTCACAAACGCAAGAATAAGTTACAAAAATAACGTTTACGCTAATAAGAAGGGAAGTATATTGTTCCAGGGGTACGATCGCCAACGCATCAAACTATACGCAAAAAGTTTCTTCATACTTCGAACAACACTTGATCGTGTTGCAGTACGAAGATCGTGTTCACTTTGTAACTAGAAATGTACATGTAGTTGTGTTTTAATACTTTTAAAAGGCTGTAAAAATTCAGAAAAATTTCAGAAAAGAGTGTGATGTAAGGGGAAAAAATATAATATTCCACAAGCTATACGAGTAAATATACTGTGAATATCTATCGAAAAGATATTTCTTGATAATATAAGTGAATAAAATGTGCAGTATTATGGTATCTAAAAATTGTAAAATTATTGCATTATTATAAATATAAAGTTTTCCTATCAGAAAAATTTTTGTAAGTATAAATTGTCCTTTAAAAATCATAACAATTATAATAACTTTATATATTTCGTTAAAATAAATTAGCATATTGTATTCAATTTTAACAATTTTATAATTAGATTTTTTATTATATTTATATTATATTAGATTTTTTATAATTTTATATATATATAATATATTTATTTGATGATTAATTTGTTTATTAAATGATAAGAAAACACATGATAAGTTTAAAAGCATGTTTTAAATTAAAATATTTAACATTACAATTAATTTTCACAATACATAATTTACAATAAATAACAAATTTATATCTATCCAAATACCACTAATAAACGTAATTATAAATTTATATTTGTAGTTAGATAATTTAAAATATGTATATATACTATACTTATTTTCACATCTTACTTCTGAATAAGTAATATAACTCGTTTTTCATGAATCAATCCCACTTGCTAATAAAAATGATATGTAGCCAGCCGATGTTTTTAATATCTGAAAAATATTCTTTTATTTAGAAATGCTACAAAGTAAATATAAATTTTTAATTTTTTAGAATATATCAAATAAGTCAAACATGTGTTAGAATAATTTCGTTTTTCAAGAAAGAGCTTATTAATAAGTATTAATTAATAAAGTATAAATTTTATCCCTTACGAAAAAAAACCCTCATTTTTTGGTGTTAACACTCAAATTTGGGCGTTTACCATCAAAATTGAGTGTTCGCCGTCAATATTGAGTGTATATTGAGTGT